TTCATTCCCCCTCTTCCAGCACTGAATTTTAGACTCAAGTGATTGTCAACCTCCAGGCGGGGCCCAGAGTTCTCCCCGAATGACAACTGATATAGAGACCACAGAGATGGGTTCCTGCGGAGCAAATGGCAGCTTCGGGAGGCAGGCGTTGCGGCATCACGTCCCTGCTCAGCTCCCTCCCTTAACTCTGCCCTCCCCAGGCTCCACCCCCAATAGGGTTCCCAACCTCCAGGTGGTGGCTGGAGATCTCCTGGGACGACCACTGATCTCCAGGCAACAGAGATCAGCTCCCCTGGAGAGAATGGCCCATTTGTGGAAGGTGGACTCTGGGACATTGTACCCTACTGAGGCCCCTCCCCCCTCCCCAAACCCCACTTTCCTCAGGCTCCACCCCCAAAGCTCCAGGAATTAGCAAGAGAGATATATTGGTATATCCCTCAAGCTTCCTCGCCCACCCTTGCTTCACCAACCCCCACATTGTTTTCCTTAATGACCTGTGTGCTCACATGCCCCAGATTCCAGAGAAAACCAAATGTGGGAGGGTGAACTGCGGCATGTGTGAAATGTTCCCTTGAATGTATTTTATTTTTTTGCAAGGTAGTAAAATTTTCCTTCTCTTGTTCACCTTTCCTGTGTTCTTATTCCCTCTGTCCACACTCTACCTTCTGACCCCCTCCCCCTCGTTTCCCTTCCCCCCAAATCTCTTTCCTTCCCCAGTGTTCCAGTGAAGGTGGCATTTGGCTGCCAACTTGCTCCTGGCACCGAAATTTCCATCTTTGGAGCTGGGAGCCAGCATGATTACACTACATCCATCCATCCATCCATCCATCTCATGTCTTCTTCCATTCCTGAACCATGCAAAACAGGAGCACGTGGATGGAGACAGTGGAGGGAAGAGAGCAAGAGAGGGAGAGGGAGGAAAGGAAACTAGCACAAAAGTGTGAGACTGAGAGAAGCAGCAGAGGCCCATCCAGTCCTTCTAGGGACTTAGATACCCAATAAGAGACAATGGGGGAAAAGTTAAGATGGGAAGAAAGAAAAAAACAACCCCACCAAAAACAAAGAGCCCTTCTTTCCACATTCTCTTTCTTTGCCTTTCTCTCCTTCTCTCTCTCCTGGGCCCTCTTCTTCTCTCCATCCATCCATCCATCCATCCATCCCTCCATCCCTCCAATTCATCCATTCCACCAGTGACTCATCCATCCATCTTCCATCCACTGCCAAATTTCGACAGCAAATAAAACTCTTTAGATATTCCATGTTTACAAGAAGCTGCCGGAGAAAAGCTTCCCCCGCCCCCTGCGGAGGAGACGGGGAGTATGTTTACATGTTTGCTGGGACCCAGTGGACGGAACCAGCACAAAGACGAGAAGAAACACTTCTTGGGCTCTTCTGCTCTCATCCATCCTGTTTACAAAGACAAACTTAAAAAAATAAAAAAGGAGATGAGAAGGCGGGGCGGGGGGAGAGGAAGAACCAGCGTCTTTGATTGGTTTAGGAGCTGGATAGGCTGGCTGGTGATGAAGAGCGACCGGGCGCTAAGGAAGAGAAGGAGGATCGTTCAGGGGATATTTGTTTGTGTGCATAAGGCATGAAGAGAGGCGTGCACTGTGAAATTCACCATGCAGCCAGTTAACAAGAAAGAGAAGAAAGAAGGTCAGTGGATTACAGTCTGGGACATACGGATATTGCTGCATGTAAGCTGGGCGCTGCGTGTGTGTGTGTGTAAGAGGCAACGGAGAAGAAAGAACAAGTCCAGAGTCTTGTGGAGGAAAGAGCTGCCTGTTGGAGGGTGTCACTGGAAAGGTGGAGTTATTGGTGAGTTGAGGGAACAAGACAAGTCCAAAAAGGGAGGAAGAGGAGACAGCCCCAAACGCCAGAAGAATAGCCAGAGAGTTGAGGGGGGTGGGTAGGGTTGCCAACTCTGGGTTGGGAAATTCCTGGAGATTTGGTGGGTGGAGCCCGGGGAAGGCAGGATTTGGGGAGAGGAGGGGCCTCATCATCTAACGCCACAGAGTCCACCCTCTGGTGCTGCCGTGTTCTCCAGGGGAACTGATCTCTGTAGTCTGAAGAGAAATTGTCATTCTAGGAGAACTCCAGGCCCCACCTGGAGCCTGGCAACTGGGGGTTGGGGGGACGCAAGTCCCGTGAATGAAGCAGCAGAGAGTGTTGTCAGGCAGGGATCCCGTTACGTGATCCATAAAGGGTTCTTCCTTTTCCCAGACTGGTGCAGGGATTGTCAGCTTTTGGTCTGCGCAAAACTCCTCCTTTGTGCCGGGAACACAAAAGCTGATCTGGGTCTGAAAGCAGCGAGGAAAAGTGGACCGGTTCTCTCCAGCCTCTGGCTATTCTGGTCTGAGTCCTCTTCAAAGACAGCAAAAATAGCAGGCAGGGAGAGGAGGTGGCTGGCAAAGAAAAAGAATTCAGGCCTGTTTTAGGGCAGACCACAGCAAAAATAGCAGGCAGGGAGAGGAGGCGGCTGGCAAAGAAAAGAAAAGGCCATGCCCATTGAGGCCGGGTAAGAAAGGCATGTTTTATCGAAGGCAGCAGACCACAACGGCCACAGGAATAAGCTGTGTGAAGATCTACAGCCTGGTCCCATACACGCTTGCTGGGTGGTTAATCCCCTGGAGTTCAGTGGGGCTTAATTCTGAGTAAGTGTGTTTGAATGATGCAGCCCTAGCAATCAGAGCATTAGAAGGAATGCACGGGCCAAGGAAGGATGTAATGGGGAAGGCACATAATCCAGAAAGGGAACCTCCAAAGAAAGTGATCCAAAAATGTGTGTGCACACATGCATAGGACAAGGGCTACCTAGGAGATATGTGAGCCTTCCACATTTCTGAGCAAACAGATCAGACGTAGTGACGAGTGTGTTAATTTTCCCCGACCATGTGTGTGTGTGTTAAATATACCAGCTGAAGGAACAACAGAATGGGAAAGTGCTGGGCAGAGGAAGAGACCTACACACATGCACGCATTACACCTGCATGTTTGTGCCCACAAGAATACCCGGCGGGAACTACAGAATGGGAAAAGCACATGATGGTAGAGGGATCAATCGTCAACACCATTCGGAAGCCAAAATTCAAAGAAGCTGGAGGAGAAAGAAGGAAGAGAACCACCCAAGGAGAGAGTCTTCTTGGCTACCAAATACCCTCTGGCGTGACAGAACAAAAAAGGAACAGATGGAGAGACGCATGAGGTTGGTTAAAACCATTGCGAAGGAGGACGGTGAATTGTTACCCTAAAAGGAACGGAGAAGACAGAATTTGGGGGAGCAGAGACAGAAACGGGCACCTTCCGACTGGAAAGCAGCAAAGGGGAAGGAAAGGAACGCCTCTCGGTGAGCAGATCCAGAGAATGCAGGACGGCACTGTTGGAGAAGTGTCTGCTGACGGCAGGAACAAACAATGCTAAGTCACTGAGGGAGGAATACTTGAGCGAGTGTACACGCCATACCAAACCACAGAAATAATACAAAGGGCCTCATGGACAACTGTGTATGCTACCGGATGGGGAAAATGGGGGTGGGGGGGAAGGGCACCAGCAAAGAATTGTGTGTGTGTGTCAGACACGAATTTACACCCGGCACAATGTGACTTTAATTTTTTTTCCCCTCAGACTGTTACATAATGGGATTTGGGGGGGGGGGTTGATCCGCTGTCCTCCCCTTTTAAAATCTGTGCTTGGCGGGAAGGGCACAGGGCTTTATTTAGGGTGAGGGGGCTCCTGAGGCTCCCTCCCCTTTTAATCCCATCTGCACGACTTATTAACCTCTGACCTTCCCTCATCCATCCTTTCTTTAAAAAACTTGCCTTTTCTTTGATGGGTGCATGGTGTAGAAGAAAAGGCAATTTTCCCCCCCTCCACTCTGGGGACGGTTAGCCTCCGGGTGGAAGGGGATGGAAGGACAGGACTGTTGTATTTTGGTGTTGAAATGCAAGTATTCTATCTGCATGTTTTTATATACTTATACTTGGGGTGGGGAGGGAAAAGTGGCAGGGAGCACAAAGGGAAAGGGAAAGATCTTTTGAAAGAACAAGGATCAGAAAAGCGGAGTTTGGGATTAGATTCAATCCAGAGGGCTCACACAAGGTTTCAATGGACAGAAATTTGGGGAATCAGCAGAAGAAATGTGTGGAAGGCTTGGCTAGTGGTGAAGAGGAGGACCCTGTGAAGGTGAAAATGGGGGTCAAACAGGCAGGAAAAAAGGGGGTAAAGGGAGAATTACGTAATGTGAGGAGGGACAGGAGACCAGATGATTTTGGAGGGAGGCAGAAGATCATAAGAGATCATGGTGCTCAGTTTAGACAACACTAAGGATAGAATCAAGACTGGTAACCACAGATGCCTGGCTCCCTGAAGGGCCTCATCCATCTCTCTCCTGGCTGTACCTTCCCGGTTGCCAACCGAAAGGCGAAAAAAGAGGGAATGTAACCTGTGGGATTGACCAAAGAGTCCACTTGGGAGCAAGGCCTGGCCTTTTGCCCCCTACTCAAAATGACCCTGTGGGAAAACAAGCTGCTAAGCCAAGATTTAAGATGAAACGAGGGTTCAGGATATGTGTGTGTGTGTGGGGGGGGGGCTCACTATTGCCTCAAAGCTATCTTATGCTAGCTCCCCCCTCCAAAAAAAAGATTCTATAAAATGATGTGTTGCCTCCAGTTTTACCCTTTAACCTGGCTCTAAACACCAACCAGACCTGGGGGGAGAGGGAGTACTAGAGGAATGGGATACTTAAGGAGGGAAGGACTATGGAACGGTGTGTTTGGAGTACAGGGTGGGGGCTGGAGGACTGGTTTAGTGGGTGGGGAGGAATTTTACATTTACACATATCAGCCGTTGAATGAAAAACCACGTAACCTATATCTTTGACATGATGCTTGATAGATGTTTTCATATTTGGGGAGGGTGGGTAAGGGCAAAGTTTTGGATTTTAGGGGAACAAAATGAGATTTATAGGGGGGGGGACAAACAAAGAGGGATATTTTATTTTCTATTTTCTTCCCCCCATCCCTTGAGATGCTATTTCTTTAGAT